ACCACCTTCTGCATCTTCTGGTTATTATTGAAATCTTCTGCCTCATGATGAGAAATCATTGCCCAATCAAGCTTTGAGCATTTAATCTGTGAGGTTGGGACTATAGCAGCCTCTCCTATCTCTGCTACCCACCTGAGAGTCACTTAGTCATCTGGATTATCAGGTCAAATGTTGCAGTACAACAGTGCTTGTGTTCAAGTAACACTTATTTTACTTAATAATGGCCCCAACGTGCAAGCGTGGTGATGCTGGAGTTTCAATATGCCAAAGAGAAGCCTAAAAGTTCTGCCTGTAAGTAAAATGATGAAGGTTTATCACAGGTGCATAGATAAAGGGGAAAAAATAGTATATGTAGGATTCAGTACTATCTGAAGCTTCAGGAAGTCAGTGGATCTTGGAACCTATCCTCTTCGATAAGACATTTTGACATTTTGGCTACTGCTATGTTGCTATAAACAAGGGGCATAGGGTGTACAGGTATTTGTTTCAGTACCTGTTGGCAATTATTTTAGTTAAGAATTTTGCAAGCATATTCTCAGCTTCTGGGTATTTCTCCCTTTAAACGGATCATTCCATACTTAACCAGTCCCTTTCAAAAGACATTTATATTGTTTCCAATCATTCAACAACTCAAACTAGTATTAAGGGCTGGTGTTGGCAGAACAATATCCTGCTGCCTATTTTGTAAATAAAAAGTTTAATGCTGCAAAACACATTTTATTGCAACATAGCCACACTTATTTATTTACGTGGTTTCTTTTCAAAAAATTTTTCAGTTGTAGAGGGACACAATGCCTTTATTTTATTTATTTAAATTTATGTAGTACTGAGGATGGAACCCAGTGCCCCACACATGCCAGGAAAGTGCTCTACCACTGAGCCACAACCACAACCCCCCCGATTTATATTTACATGTTTTCTATGGCTACGCAGGCCGCATCTTGACAGACATGGTACAGCCTGCAGAGCCAAACTGTTTAAATTTGGCACTGTCCAGAAAAAGTTTACCAACTCTTGACCTATATGCATTTAAATAAATCTGTAGTAGAAATTCCCAGGACAAAGCCTGCCCACAAGCTTTAAACTGTTCCCATTGCAGTTATCATAGGTCCTCCAGAGACGTGAGAGGTGTGAAATCCCTGGAAGCTGTTTAGGAGATTTCCAAGGGTGCTACACTGAGACCCCCGCATGGGATGAGCCTTGACATGCCTGGGACCAGCCACCTGGCTAAAGCAGGAAATTCTGTACAGCGCCCCTCATGCTAACAAGAGCAGAACCCCCTCAAGAAGCTCACCCACATCCATTGGACTGGCTGCCACTTACTTGCTGCTACCCGGACCCTCATCAGGACACCGTTCCTCCTGGCTACCAGCCCCCCACCTCTGCAGGTCCACACCCTGAGGCCCTCTGCTCTGTGTGGCTCATGGCTGCCTGGGCAGACCTTGGGGGTGAGTATTTTGAATATTATCAAGGATCTCTTGGTACTCCATGATTTCGCTCCTCTCCTTTCCAGAAGCCAAAAGTAGCTGGGTCAAAGGAGTAGAAATGCCTGATCTTTTGTAGTAACAATGAGATTCTGGGAGAACAGTGAGTGTCCCAACAGGACAGGGGCCTCCAGGTCACCCCTCAGAGCCTCTCAAACTGCAGAACCTCAGCACACAGAGCATAAGTCAGAATAGGAGTATGCAGAAGCAAATGGAATTTTTTTAAAAAGTCTAGTTAAAAAATCCTTAATTATGAAAATGCTATTTCCTTTTCCACTTGGTAGCAGTGTTGGCCATCATCATCTTTTACTGTCCCATCAAAGACTTCCATTTGGTGCTGCCGTCTGGTGACGCTTTTGTACCCATTTCCATTGAAGGATGAGGTGCATGGCCTGGCCACTCCCAGAGCAAATGACTGATGCCAAGGGTCTGTACAAGCCTCAGAAAAGAGAGGCACCTTTGTGTGCTCCAGACCTTTCTGTTGGCTGATGGGTTCTGATGTGTCACCTTCTTTCCCAATGATTGTTAGCAAAATAACCTAAGCCACAAAATTCCCTTTGTCAGGTACGGATCCGGTTTTGTGGCACCTAAACACAAACATCGCTGCTGCAAATTTGACATGAGCAATCCACCAGCTGAATCGAAGTGAAAACTTAGGTGTCATTTTTGTTGAATGCACTTGGGCCCCAGTCGATAACAATACACGATTTTCTTTTCAGGGGAGGGGTTTAC